ATGATTTTTACATTTTAAACGCATCAATGATTTAAATGATGCATTTTTCCGAACTTGTTTTGTGACTGGCATACTGGTGCAACAAAAAAAAACAGGTTTTCAATTTATGCATCACTGATTTTTATGTAACAAAAAATACAGTTTCAGCTTCGACATGAACATATTTAATTAGTTCGATTTTCGTTTGACTACCAGCTACTGGTTCGTATGGTTACAGAGAATGTGAATCTCGGGCATGTAGTTTCCACAATTCCAACCGGATTCGTTGCAGATGCTGCCGCCACAATAACAACATGAAGAATGACTGTTGTTAAATTTATTGGAAATCTGCTGTCATCGCATATAAATGAGCCTAATTTAATTTGCAACAAATGATTTCTGGATATTGCTTCAGAAGTGTGAAAAAAATGTTAAATGTAAAATGTGTGGGAGTTTTTTAGGGAAATCAAATTTATGAAAGTAAAGTTATAATAATTTAATTTAAGAGATCTTCGATAAATTTCAGTGATAAATTTATGTTCAGGATATTTATGAAGATGGAGTCTCAGTGACATATTTCATGATATACTTCTATATATTTGTCTTAATCGGCCTTCGATCGAAGTGCCTTTAACCAATTACATTTGTATACCAGATTCAATCTAATCAACCTTTTGATTGTGCATGTGTATATTATCCATTATTATATTACAAACTACAAAACAATGGACTATTCCAAAAAGAATTTACAACACATTAAATTCCATTTTATCAGTTTGGCAAATAATGGTCTATTGACTGGCAGCGAATATGTCAGTGTAAATTCGATTTGCAATTACAAATGCCCGATCCCCAACTAAAACTGTGTGAATGGTTCTGCCTTGGTGTGTAGTAAAATCCAGAGTGTTGTGACAAAAGTCATTTGACAGAACACAGTCAAAGGCATTGGCACATCATCCAACAACAATAACGATATACAAATGCACGGACATGCATTTGTATTTAAACCCCACGTTGTTTTTGCGAGTGTGGCAGTGCAATGTCGGTGACATGCAACCAAAAAAAATACAGTGACTATGCTAATGTTTATCTACCCACAGATTTCAATCAGTAAAAGCTAAATGCAATACTCATGCAAATGCATATAAGCATTTTAGTATTGGTGTATGTGTGTGTGTTGATTTATGTGAAGGGGACGATTCATTTGGCTTTTTGTGCCTCAATACAAATATAGATAGATGTGTCTGTGTTTTGAAAGAAAAATACAAATACACCAAAGCATTCCTTTTTTTAAACGACTAGGCTTTTAGATGATACACACACACATATATGACTGTCTATATCTATATAATGACTATTGATGGGTTTATATATATAAATATACGAGGTTTGTTCTAAAAGTATTGAATTTCCACTGGAACGTTTATCTTTCATTTGGTTCAGGAAATGAAAGATAAATGTTCACAACGACCCAAATCTGCAACAGTTGTTTATGCCAAGTTGCGAATATGAGGTTTATAAATATTAAGTAGAAAATAAGGATCAGTTGTCTCAAGGGAAACTGCTGCATTGCTGAAAAAGCGGGCACTAATCAGTCATTACAGTGGTGCCGTAGCATAGCTATTTCTTATACCTGAGACACTGACAATGCTATGCTACGACCGCAGGGATAAATACATCACAGAAGATTTAGAAATTTAGGATGGTGTATTGTGCTAGGACCTCCAACATACCTAAACTGGGCAGGGCCTATATCTGGGGCTAAACATGAATATATATTGGACATTTTCTGCTAATAAAATTTTGTTGACTAATAACCCTGAATTCACTTCGGCATTTCGGAGTGAATTAAAAAAAAAAAACTAAAATGAGCTGTGCCATTATATATGTACCGGTCTGAAAGATTGACCTATACAAACCTTTTCTTCAAAATAGGTTTTTAAAGAATAATATCCCAGAACTCAAAATTACTAAAACTATCAAAATTTCCAAATTTGGGCGGGATCATTATTAGGAGGCTTTCCCAAAATATGGATCAAGATTAAAAATGTTCTTAAACGATTTTGTTCATCCTCCAAGAACTCGAAATGTCCAACTACAGTCTCTCCAAATTAAAAATGTGGCTAAATCCTTCAAAATATCGAAAACAAGGTGTCCCATTTCCAATTTTCTAAAAGTAAATCGACGGACAGATAGATACATAGAATTTTATTCTGATATTAGGTTGGGGAAAAAGAAATCCATTATTTTTATATGAACTATAGGACTTTATTTAACATGCTTCGTAATGTCCAATTTGGGCCAAATATGCACCGTTATGATGTATGATTTTTTTGCCATTTTAAAGGTAACTCCTAATTTTCGCAATCCTCTCTAGATACCAAAGACATTTTACAATGCAAGAAAAATATGATAATCGATTGGTGCCAAGTCCGGACTGTAAGCTCCCGAAGTTTCTGGCGAGTCACTGCAGATATTTTTCATTTTGCAGAAGCTATGTGTGGCCAAAACGGCTGCAAAACGCTCTCAGCTCAAAATACCATAAAGCAATCGGTATCTATATGTAGAAAATACATAAAGTAGGCTTAAACCGATTTCTAGATCGTTCACAAAACCTTTGCTTCCTTGTTCTCTCCAAAGCAAACTCGAAAGTGCGAATGAAACAATCAAATATGTTAGCAAACTGCCACCACATAAGACAATTTGTTACCATTAAAATAAGTCCGAATTTTCGTAACACCCTACACCAAAAAAAAAATCCACTCACCATGGTAAGCATTAGAGTGATGCAAATTTGTACTTAAATGCAAACCATAGTGGTGGAGTCATACATTATTCAATATTGACAGACTAAATAGAAGCAAAACACCGTTATTCTATGGACGCCCGAATGCAATGGACTACGACACCGGATGGCTACACCTACACCTCCAATAGAGATGAGGAGGAGAATACATCTAGACGAATCTGATACCCAGCAATAACATTCAGCTCCTTATTGTTATTGTTACTATTGCACTTAGTCACAAACACACACACGCATGCACACTCACTCATTCACATGCAATGCAATACTCATGAATATGGAACGTATTCAAAGGACACTTACACTCCAACACGAGAGCCGTGTGATTGCTGCCCCCACACACTCGCAAACGCACACACACAAATACTTAAATTCAGCTGCTGTGAATGTTTCAAAATTTTGCAAAAATATACAACAACAGGAACAATGTGAAATAAAAAAAGACAAACGGAAGCGGATACAGAGGCTGAGAGTGGTCATGTAGTCGTGAATATTCAAACATATATACATATGCATGTATGTATGTGTATTTGGGGATCCAAATAGTTTTTTTTGTTTTTGTTCCCTCCCATAGGTAGGGGATTTTAAGTGGCACTTGGGAATTCAATGTTCCACTGTTCGGTACCATTTTTGTTACCTCATCTCCAAAAGCCGATTCGCTGGAAATGCACTGCAGTTTTATGCTGCTGCTGTTATATTTTCGGATGCCTTCTTTTTTCCCCCCATTTCGTTCATTTTCAATGTCCATGGTCGTCGCCAACGTTTTGTTCAAATGCACATTTCTAAAATTACATACATATGTATGTGTATGGAGTGTTCATACACGTTTGTTCACTTTGGGCTGTCTGAATTTGTGTGTGTGTGTGTGTGTGTGTGAGCATTGCTGCAACATTAGCATAAAATGAAAGCGAAATGTGTTAAGCATGCCACAACAACGTTGAGCCTTTTAATGCAAACTATGTTCAGACATGGCTACATTTGAACTTCTCGCTCATACTTTTCTTGGCCATTTGCATTGCTGGTGCAATTTTTCATTGCCGTACCATTTGACGACGAGACTGTAAAGTGTCCTTTTGGAAAATCTCTCTTTGAGTGTTGAGAGACGTGTGTGTGATTGTTGTTGTCGTCGTCGGTATAGAGGTTAAAATTAAAGCATCGTACATTTTTGCCTTTAAGTCTTGTAATTTAAGAATTAAAAATAAACGTTTAATAATTTAAAAGGATACCAATTGTTTCCCAAGATAATTTTTAACACAAAATCTCAGTTTGGAAAAAGTATTTTTAAGAAATGTGTTCTTTTAATTTATATTTTGTTTTTTTTTTAATTATTAAGGAAATACGTCAACTTATTTATTCATGTGAAACTCGAAATTCGGGTTTCGAAAAAAAACTGTTCACTCATTTATTTTTTGAAAACGTTGCAAATGTATTGAAATAAAAAATTTATCTAAATAAATTAATATAATAAATTTATGAAGATTTGATCGAATAGAATTTTCTTAAAATGTTGGACTATTATTTGCGGAATTTTTATTTATAAAAAAATAAGTCACTTCCCCAAAATCTGGAACTTTGTCTTAGTATGTACAACAGAAACAAAAATACTAATTATTTTACATATACTTCAATTTTGTTTACATACAAACAAAATATGATTATTTGTGTATCCAAAAGTATAGAATGTTGAAACAAAACATAAAAAAAATCTTATTTTTAAAAAAGTGTCTGAACGAAAATATTATCGACGAAAAAAATATAAAAAAATAAAAAATATATTTAATAATTATTAAATAAGAATTTAGTTTTCTCTTCACAAATGAAGATGCATGGAGAGCCATTTTATATTGTAAAAAAGCATGATTAGTCACAATTTATTATTTCAATTTCTAAAAGAAAAATATATAATTTTGCAGAAACACATCAGCATGTATCCATCATACATTCATAGCTAGCAATTCGAAACTCATTTTCTTATTTTAGATTTTTTGTTTTTAAATTAGATAAATCATTTTTTACATTTAAGAAAAATCTTTCAATATATACATTTTACATAAAACATTATCAAGTAATTTTATGTTTACACATCTCATATGTTATGCCAAATTTAGTCCGATACCTTCATTTCGAAGTTTACTAATTATCTCTCCATTTTACAATGTTTTGTTTTCTGTTGCTGCTGACGCCATATCCCTGCCTCTTTATTTCGGCTGTGCAGTATTTTTGGTCATCATTCCAGAAATTTGGCAATTCTCGTGGCCATCATATGCTATCCGATAGAGGACTACAATATGGCTTGGATGTCGATCAAGAGGATGAACCGTTGAAAATCGTATCGCATATTACCACCAAAGATTTGCAAACTCCGCTAAACGCTAACAAGGCTCACACAAAACCAGGCAACCGAAATAATGGCAACGAAGTTGGACCACGCGATGATGATGATGATGAGGAGGATAGCGATGATGATGACGATGGCTATACCAGTGTTGATGGTGTTGACAGTGTTGATGATATGGTCGGGCAAACGGATACAACGACAAATGCCACCGATAACGAGCGACAATCAACGTTACATTTGCCCCATGCCAGATGGCCGAATCATTGGTCAGATCTACCACCGTCACACATGACTTCAACCAATACAGTCACGTATAAATGGCTAACAAGCCCATGGACGCCGTGTTCACAGAAATGTGGAGCTGCTGGTTCGGGTTTAAGAGTAAGTATAAACATTAACCTCAATTAGGGAAAGGGAGGGGAGTTTATGTGGTGGTATTGGAAAAATATATATACAATTTATTTAATGTAATTGTGTGGCCGTGTTATTTAAAACATTTTGTTTATGCATTCATTAGAGACGCACCATTACCTGTATACGCGTCCATATAACAACTATACCCAACATTCACAATGGCGATGATAACAGCAGTAACAACAACAACGATGGCAATGATGGGGCCGACAATACACTTAATGTGGAACAGACCACCGAAGAAATCACCCAACAACAACAGCAGCATCAACAGCTGGAACAAGAGGAAATTGTGGACAATGCATTTTGCGAAGATTACGGCCTGGACATACCCGATACCTTTGAGACATGCGGTAGCGAAGAATGCCCCCGTTGGATCAAGGGAGAATGGTCATTGTGTCATCAGTCACGTTGCTTTGGCCGCAACACAGCCATACAAAGACGTGAAGTCTCCTGTCGTTTTGCTAATGACACCATATCTCGTTTATGTCCGGAATACGAAAAGCCCATTAGTCGCCAGGAATGCTACAATGAACGTTGCAAGGGTGTATGGCGTGTTGAGCCCTGGTCAGAGGTAAATCAAATATTTGTATATCTTTTTATTCTTGTTTATCATTTGATTTACTTTTATTTTTTTGTTTGTGTTGCGTTGCGATGAAAGGTATAATGAGTAGGGAGGTAGGGTATACAATTCACTTGGACGAGGAAATGATGCTACTATCGCCATCAAAATACCAAAAATGAGGCAGGGACTTTATATAGGAGTTATGTGAACACATGGAAAAATATTGGAAATTGACTTCAAATATGTTTTCCACCTTCAAGAAATCTCCAACTGGACCGTAACATGGAGACTCTGGGGTCCGGTGGGTTACAGATACAAGGAGTCAGGGCAGGCCCATAGTTACTTTTAAGAATAAGCATCGATATATTTCCTTTACTACAAAAATGTCACCATAAAATTTTACTATAATTCTCAGAATAGACCAAAACTCGAAAACCATCCTTTAGGTTTAAAACCAATTTAATTATTTAGTATTTCGTCAAAGACAAAAATTATTCTACATCGAATTTCACTAGTTTATCTTTTGTTCGTATCTTTTTAGATTTAAATATAGCTCCCATATATAATCGAGTAAATTATGAATGACATATAAACCTTTTTCAAATCAACTCGAAATTTTGTATAACGTATGGGATTGCGCCTAGTTTGAATTATATTAGGTGTTGTCAAAAGAAATATCTTTGGAACCCTCTCAACCTTAATTCGCATTCCAAATTCCAAGTTTTAGCTCTATCCATTCACATGTTACGATATTGTACCAAATTTAGTAAATTTTAGTAATTTTCGGATGCTTATAGTTCGAATATCCAAAACCCCCTTTGCTATATCTATTCTACACTCCATTAGTGACCCTCTATCCATTCACATGTTACGATATTGTACCAAATTTAGTAAATTTTAGTAATTTTCGGATGCTTATAGTTCGAATATCCAAAACCCCCTTTGCTATATCTATTCTACACTCCATTAGTGACACTCATTTAAAATTTAAGAGTTCTAGCTCTATCGGTTCGCCAAATGCAAATGGTACCACATCTAGTACTTTTCGTACCGTTCTAGTACGAATTTCCAAAACCCCAGCCTTGTCTGTCACCTTGGGACCAAAAGTCACCCTCACCCAAATTTTTCAAGATTCCAGCTTCAACCGTTTCGTCTGGGAGTTGATGAATCGTTAAGTACAGTTTCCACACGTTCTTCATTAAATTGAAAGTCTTATTAACACTTTCTTATATTATTGCTGCAGTATTCCAAATGGAGTTGAAAAATTCATGGTGAAGGATAAAGAAAGTTCCGCCTGTATGAACTTATGGTATTTTTTACAAAATTCCTAAACATGTAGTTTAGACATGTTTTTATTTACTAAAATTTCTAGGGTCTTTCATCTAAATAATGTAACTGTTATAGGCCAAATAGTTTAGTAAAAAATGGAAAAGGCCTCTCAGCCTTAATTTAGGAACCTTTGTAGCCGACTTTGTCCAACGTTATACCTTTCATACCATTTCCAACAATAATGGCATATATTTTTCGGTTTTGTCAATATTTTTCCTGCACTTGTTATTGTAAAATTGCTACCTTTCTTCATTCCTTCATGTATTCGTTTATTTTTATATTTTCCTATTTGCTGATATTTACAGTGCAATGCTCCTTGTGGCCGCCAGGGCATCAAATATCGCATACTGCAGTGTGTTTGGTATGGTACACGAAGACCAGCGGGCAATGCTTGCAAACATCAAAACCGACCTGCAGTAATGAAAGTCTGCAAAAGTCCACCCTGCTATGCAAAAGGTAAATAAAGCACCACAGCTCGATGACTGACCGAACGACCGGCCAACCGACCCCCAAGGGGCCGCCGAAGAGCTCACCAAACAAAAGGAGAAAACACACACACACACATCTAATTGGTATTGTTTCTTTCGTTCTTCTTCTTCTTTACAGCCATTGAGCGATGCAAAGATACTTCACGTTATTGCCGCAATGTTCGCTCCATGGGATTGTGTCGTTTACAACGTTATCAGGAGAAATGCTGCAAGTCCTGCAAATACAATAGCATTCCAAATTAGCATTTACTATTTAATAATAATCTACACCTGCCATATAATTCGTATTACCCGCATCGTCATCATCTTCTTCGACGTCGTCATCTTCTACTGCAGCAGCGGCATCAGCTTCCTATACTTCGTTATCATGGTCATCAATCTCCAGCTTCAGAAGAATTCAGCGATTCAGGCATAATTTATGGTGAACCAAGGTATGTAGCAACGTTATGGCCAGACCAAGTCAACACATAACCAAACATTCTTGGCTAAAATGCTGGAGGACATGTGGGAGGAGAAAATGTCACTCGCACAGACACACATACAAACAAACAAGCAATTATAGTTAATGAAATAATATAAAAAAACGAAAAAAAAACACAAAACAAAAGTTTAAATTATACAACAAGTTTATTATAATTTTTGATAATATTTTTAAAAGAAAAGAAAAAAAACAAGAAACCAAAATTAAACAAAATTTAAAAACAACAACTCTTTAATGGAAAAGTAAATAGAAAAGAAAATAACACAACGGAACAAATTTCCTATCAAACAAAACAAAAACGTAAATATTTAAGATGACAACAATTATTGTTACAAATTAAGGCTTATTACATATATATATACATATATACGAAAAATGCATAAAACAAAACATCAAAATAAGCATATAATTAACCTTTATCACTATACTCAGATTTCAAAAATCGCCGCCCTTTTCGTTTCATTGAAGAAAACAAAATAGTATGTGTCTCCTTATTGACTTAAAAATATTAAACAAAACATCAACAACAACAACAAAGATTGCCTTTGGCTTCAGCAGTAAACAAGACAAAGAACAACAACAATATGACAAAATAAAGACAAAATACGAAAATCATAATGTCAAATTATTAAGCTTTATGTTTATATATACACTAATGAAAATTGATCCTAATCATGTATTAATTTTATATATACAAAACATAATTCTTATTATTATTTTTAGTTTACCAAATAATATGTGTGTATTGTATGGTGTTGCTTGTTGAATGATATTTAATGTTGAATTAATTATTTAGACCGATTAATGTAAAGATGATAAGGATTATATTAGCTTAAAACTGTAGTCAAATTTGGACCAAACTGGAATATTTGTTTATACTATTAAAATATCAAAAACATTGTAAAAATCATAAAAAAAAACTTTTCGATGAAAAAAGAACCGGGTTTCTAAATTTTTGAACTGGATATTCAGATAATAAAACCGGTAATTGTCCGGTTCAATTAATTTAGGACGGTTCTTTACTAGCTATCTAATGATAAGCATATAAGGTAAAGAAACCGGTTTTATTATCTGAATATCCGTTTCAAAATTTTAAAAAACCGGTTCTATTATCCTCGAAATTTAATTTTTTGACGTATAATATTCCGGCTCAATAAATTTAGCTCATTTGTTTGATAGATTTCTACTGAAATGCACATGAGGTATTGAACCCGGTTTTACTATCTGAATATCCGATTGAAAATTAAAAAAAAACGGTTATTTTTTCTTCGAAATTTAATTTTTTGTCGTATTTTAAAACACTTTTGATATGCGTATTAGGTAATGGTATGCATATAAGGTGTTGAAACCGGTTTTACTATCTAAATATCCGGTTCAAAAATTTAGAAAACCGGTTCTTTTATTCTTCGAAATTTATTTTTTACGTACTTTTTGCATAGCTATATATGATTTTAGTAAATAAATCGTACGAATCTGACAGTACTACATACTGAATTAAAATATTGATTCCTTGTCTTTAAGGACTCCACCTAACATCTTATAAGCAACATTTTTCTAATTTATTGCGCGAATGAAAAATCACACTTTGTGACAATTGGAGTCCGGTTTAATAAATTATGGGCGAAAATGACATACAAGGAATCTAGTTGGAAGGACGAAATTTTCTACAAAAAAAATCCTCATTCGAAATGTAGTCTCCAAAATTACATGCAATTGCTGGACTTAATAATGATGACGAAAAATGGCGAATGACTTTCCTTAGTCGTTAGTTAAAGGCTTTTGGTCAGCTGATGTTCATCATCAGCATTATATGAGGTATATAAATGTCAAGTCCTTGAAGTGAACATTACAACATGTCGAAAAACTGATAGACTTTTACTATAATTATCTTAGACTTCATGATATCTTCTTTAAAAAATATTAGAAAAAACTATTCTTATCAAAATGCCATCACCATATCCAATCAAATTGCCTAACCGAATCCGGGTTTCCTTCAATTTTCTGGGGACGGACAATTGTCTCAATTTTTGGCTTTTTAAACCTTCTAAAATTTCACATATTATTCAACAAGCAACATTTGCAACTACACACCTCTATTATTACAAAAAATTAAAAGAAAAATTAACTATAAAAAAAACAAGTAAATATTACCAGCAATGTTATATAAATAATTTGTAGTTAAATGCCTATAAAAGCACTGTTAACACAATAACAAAAAATATATACAATAATAATAAATTGTAAATACAATTAATTTATACGTACATAAGTTAAACAAAAGACACGTAAATAATATTAGAACATTAAAGAATAATAATAAAAATAACAAAAACAACAAATGAAACGATTAAAGTAAATGCAATGCCAAACAAACAAATATTCATACCAAATGAATAAATACAAACAAATACATACAAAAGCAGATACAAAAAACCGATTAACGAATACTCGTATATTAATGCCACCAAAAAACAGCAGCTAGAATAAAAAACAAAACAAATAAATTATTAAAAAATATTTAAATGGAATAATATAACAACAACAAAGACTACAACATTTTTCAATTGTTCAGCCGCCATTTGTGAGAAAACAACCAAAAAATCAACAACAAAACGATATGCTTTTACTTAAAAAAACCTTCCCTCTGATCTTCTTTTAGTTAGAAATATGTACCTGTTTAAGAATTGATACGAAAAAAAAAACACACGAATCTAACCGAATACCATTTTTGCAAAAAAAATCATTTCTACTTTATTCGTTTCATGTGATTATACCAAACAAATGCATTCTTTATTTTCTCCCAGATGAAAATTCCCTCCCCTGCTGTAATTTTCTTTAATATTCCAAAAATGTTTGCCTTTTGTATTTCACAATATTTATTTGTAATACCCAAATCACACGAAAGGTTTTTGTAAATATATATTTATGCTCCTATGAATCTCTTTGACCCTCTAATTCTTATTTCTTATACAATGAAACATAACAAAAACATTAAACATAAAAAATTAGTTAAAAACAAAACAGAGTTATACTTTAAATATAAACAAACATAGCAAAGATAATTTATAATAATATAATATAAAATAAGGAAATAAGGAAACAAAATATTTTTAAGTTCCAAAAATACATAATAAATTTTAAAAGGAAAGGAACAAAATACTTCATAAATATAATTGAAAATAAATTTTATACAATGTATTAATTTTTCCAAATACATACAGAGATTTTCCAACATTCTCAAATAAAATTTAAACCCCTTACCAATTATATTTATGAAATATTTTTGTTTAGTTCTTCGAAATATTTGTAAAAACAATTGTATTATTTCCTAATATTTGTTTTGTAATGTTCAGCCCAACAAATTGCTCACAATATTGTAAAAAAAACATAATAACACGAACATATTATTATTTCCCTTTAGATATTTAATTTTATATAGGCGTCCTTATTTTCTATTAAAAAATACATATTTCATTATGCAGTATGTTTTGACAAAAGTTATAAAAAATAAAGGAAAATTAAAAAAAAAAACAAGAAAAGTTGTAACACCACAATTGAAAGCGTTTGTATTATTCACTGTTCCCTAAAGCTTGGGAACACCAGATGTCTGCACAAGATGATTCAAATGATTCATGTCTACGCTGCTTTAAATGGGTATAAGAATATTGGCAGCATTGTGCATAGAAAAATGTATATTAGAAAGCATGTTTTAGGGCGTCATGACCAAATATATGAACAATCGCTACATTTTACAACACTGGTTAAGGCATACATTTTGCGCCATCTATTGATACCTATGATGGCAAATTGGAAACTCATTTTTGGAACATTGATTTTTGGCCAATTTCAGCACGTCGTAAAAATTTTAAAATGCTTATTTTCGTGCAAATAATAAGTTAATTTCTATTTTAAAAAATATGGAAATACAGTAAACATCTATTATTATTCAGAATCACTAATATATTTTCAATTTTAGACTTTTAAGAAGAGTTATGACCCAAAATTTACCGCCTTTGACACTTATCTTTAAAGGCTTATAACTTTCGTAAAAATTGTTCGTTTACCACAAAATGGGTGTCATATGAAAGAGTCAAGAATTTAGGTTGTGAAGAATGGATAAAACTCATTTTTGTGATATGACTAACATATTAAATTTACGAAGTATTGTATCAACCGCATTTTTAATTAGTTTTCTCCATTGTTTTTAGTTTTTCTATTCAGAATCACTTATATTTTTTATTCTACACATTTTTAGAGGAATATGATTCAAAATTTACTGACTTTAGGACACCTGCCTTCAAAAGCTAATAACTTTCGTAAAAATTGTCCGTTTACCATAAAACAGGTGTCAAATGAAAGAGTAAAGGATTTACTTTATGATGAATGGATACAACTCATTTTTGTGTTATGTCTAAGCTATTAAATTTGCAATGTATTGTATTAATCGAATTTTTTAATTGGTACCCTACATTGTTTTTGCTCTTTCTTCCACCACGTTTATAGTCCACTTTTCAACCTTTCATATGACACCAATTTCACCATTGTACGCTTACTAACTAAACTGTTATGATTAAAAGAAGTACATCAAAAATTGTGTTTTTTGAAAAATTTTGTCTCTTTAGGGTCATGCGTATCAATAGATGGCGCTATTACGAGGTGTTAACCAGTGTTGTACAACGTAGTTTTCTTTCGCTTATCTTTAAAAGCCTATAACTTTCGCAATAATTGTCTGTTTATCACAAAACTGGTGTCACGTGAAAGAGCGAAACCTCTACTTTATGACGTATGTATTCATCTTACTTTTCTATTATGTCTAAGCTATTAAATTTACGAAGTATTGT